GTCAAACTGGGAAAATTCCTATGCTCTCTTCCATGTTTTTATGGTTAAGGAAATACATTTTAGACTTGACAATGATTTCGTATTGTAAAAACTGCAGTAATTTCTTGCACTTTTGGTGGAGGTGATTAAGGTGAGTTTAAAAGATTCGTGCACTTCCCTAAATTAGTATGAATTTATCAGATTACATTTAGAAATTACACCAGATGCAAGAAAAGCATCCTTTTTACCACTTCACATATGATATAAACCATTCCTCTGTTTAATGCTACACATTATGCTAACAAGCTTGGCTGATCAAGCACCAGCATGCTAGGCAGTTTTAAATTTCATGGGTACAGTTGTTGTTCCCTCCCTGCAATAAAATACATTGTTGAAGACAGAATTATTCCCCCACTCCAAAACATTATAAACCAAAAACTGTTGATTCGTTTCATGTATTCTGGTCTAAAATAAAGATTAGGGAGACACATTTTCCCCTACTGTTTTTGAACCTCCTGCAATCTACTAAACATGACAAAGAAGTTTCAGAATATATCACCACTTAACTAGATTTGTCACAGTTTACATCTTGCTTCCAAGTGACCACAGAAAGATAAAGTCATTGGAAGCAAGATTTTTTTAAATTGAATTCCCTGAAATCCTGCTTACCACTGTAATATATAGGCCATAAAAATTCTAAAAAGTAGTGGTTCTGAGCATAATGCTGAAAAGTTTCATTAGGAAAGGGAGTATTTCAATAAACTAAGCAGTTCTTCATATTTGTAACTAGCAGATACCCAGTTGTTATTTCTTCTAAACACTGTGTTTGTCTTCTCTATCTATTATCAAATATTTTCCATTTAAAACTTTTCTCACACACAACTTGCTAGCAAGTCCCATTAGATCATGCAACGAAGCCATAAAAAGCTGTGATAACATAATTATTCCGTTGGCAACAAATTATGCTGTCAAAGACAGAATTATAGCCAAACTCTAAAATCAGCAGAAGTTATGAAGAAGTAAAATCTAAATATTTAACAAACAACTGGGTAAATGGAAAAAAAAGTAATTAGCCTTGCTATGAATTTTTTTTTTAAAAAATCCTGTTTGATCTTCCTTTCACTTTATGCCCTGTAGAAATACCTAACTCTTCTTCATTCAGAGCACTGAAGCTAACAGAAGTACTTGTTGTCTATAAATTGCATGTGTGTCATATTAGTTTGGAAATAGGTTATGACTTTGGTTAAGGGCAATAAAATGCTACAGAAATTTTAGTTGATTTATTACAGGAAAGACATGAAGAATAGAAAAATTAATTAGAGAATCGCTACTGTATTCTGACAGAACGTTTAAGTTCAGTTTATGTTTTCCACTACATGTCAAATTTGCAACAAATTAAGATATTATATGCTATTTAAAAAGACACATATTAAATAACCAAATTCATAAAAGGCACTAAAAATCCATCTCCCCAAATATTTACAGCTTGAAAGAAGCAAGCAAAAAGCATTAGGAGACATAAATATACAAAAAAAGTTGCAAATCCCACCTGATGATCCAAATATATGGCATTCCTTTGAAGGTGATGTGAAAGAATCTCACTCTAGCAGGCAGCAGGCAGAAGAAAAAAGGACAGAAGGTGCAGAATGCATGAAAAGAGTTTTAAAAGATGTAAACTAGACAGTGATGTTTCAATTTCACTAAGAAATACATAATTCTACTTTCCCCTGTTTTTTTCTTGTGAACTTCTAACATGTTTTGACACCGAAACAGAAATGATGATGGAAGTTTGCCATGAACCATACTATACACTGTTACTTTAGATTTTGTTTTTACACATAGAATACAGTACATCCATTTGGAATTTCTATACATAACTATACAGATGACTCTAAACCCTTTGATAAATCTGTGTTTTAATCATGCCCTAATTTTTGCCCACGGATTACAATTTCATCTGATAAGAGGTAGTACACACAAAGAGTTAAGCTTGTTATCCACCACTACTATTATTTAAGCAAAAATAGGTTAAGCCTGTAACTGTACTTAAAACTCAGTAAGTGCACTGCGCCTTGAAGCGTTCCTGCTTCTTTGAGCTAAGAACTCAAAGGGTTAACAGCAGAACATCCCACGCAGGAGGAAACCACGTTATTCCATCCACCCCCACAGGCCTCGGAGAATTCCGCACCAATGGCACAATGCAAACTTTGATTAATGAATGACTAGAGGTTAGTGAGAATGGCACATGACACACATTGCTTTATAGCTGACCTTTGGGCTGCTGGCCTCAAGTTTTAGCTGCATGAGCTGTGCTAGTGTGTGTTCCCGGATACTACTCAGTTCAGCTTGCTGCCGTCTCAGCTTTATTAGCAGCAGCGTGAGCTCCTCTGGCTGAAGGAGTGCAGTGTGAGAAGCCAAAGAGTGGAAAAAAGGTTAATCGGGATCCTGAGCAACACGCGATCAAAATCTTAGCATCTTCCCCATGGTACAGAAACCGATATTTATGGCGAAACGCCAAAAGATGCGGTGGTTTTCCCCAAAATGACCATTTTAAAAACATATAACAAAGGTTTAAGTTTTAACTGTTCAAACACATGATACTGTAAAATGCCATAAAGATTGGAATATTCTGTTTAAAGCACAAAAAAATTTGGATTTTGCAGGAGAAAATCTGTTTTTTTCTGGCACATGTATCAAATTGATGATACTGACTTAAGTGAAGGGAGAGATATTCCAACCTTTAGGATATCATTATCTGTACATGGACAACTACTAGCAGTTGAAAGAATCTGAAAATATCCCCAAAGAAAATGCAGGCTTCTAAAACAGTGAGGGAGAACAAAAAAATAAATAAAAAATAAATAAATAAACTGCATCACAAACAAGCACCTCTCACATCAGAAAATGGCAGAAGCACGACAAAAATTCTTTTCAGTCCCTCCTTCCACAGGCTTGAGAGTAAAAGTTAATTTAGGATGCACTTCTACAACTTGAAAAGATGCATAATATAGTCTTAGGAAAGAACAGGGAGTGGTATTTAAAGCCTATGATTATTTCAATAAAATTCACAGTCAAATGGGGAGTTCCTAGGCAATTCCACAGAGAAGAGTTCATTTCAGTTGGGAAAAATCTGCATGAACTTTCTCTGGGATCCACTTCTATCAGGAACACTTCTAAGGAAAGAAGAGACCATCAATCTCACTAATATTTTTGTTATGTTCCTTATTTGCTTCTGTTTCTTACACTTCTCCAGAAGTGAATCTTGTAAGTGGTTAAATATTCACCTAGCAGTTTCACTTACTGCCACAATTAGCAAGCTCTGTGTGTTAAAAAAAATATCACCCCAGCTTGTTCTCTACCAGGGCCACAGAATTTCCCCAAAGCAAAAAAGTAAAGAAGAAAACCCCAGAGAGCAAGAACGTTAAGTTACTGAAAAACAAATAAATCTCAGTTATTTGGAATAAGGAGCAAAAAAGTGTCCGAGAATGACCAGGGCACTGGCACTAGCGTGAGCTTATATCAAACTAGCCCACAAGAGGGAGCAAGGGATTTCCACATCGCTTCAGCTGTCAAAAACCATTTGTTTTGATGGAAACCAAACACCAAGGCCAAACTGGCTAATGGGCAATCTTGTTTTTATTACTCTTTCAGCATCTTCAATTCAAATTTGTAATTTCAGAATGAATAAGCATCTAGACTGCTATGCAGGACACGTTCAAGTTCTTTCCCAAAGGAAGGGCCAAGGTTTTCAAGGTGAAAATTAGTCTCATCTCAAAGCACAACAAAGCTTATTTTATAACAACTGTGATAAGCAGATTTGAACAACAAGACTATAGAATCATGTTGTATTTCCAAAACTTTTCTTAGTATGTCCTGCAACTATCTGATTTTCATGCATTAGCAATACATTTTTAATGGTATTTCAATAAAATGCTTGCAAGATTTTTTTTTTCTTTGTGGAGAAGCCAACTGAACAGTAATTCCTACTCTTCCCTAGAGATGGATAACTTGCTAACATTTGGGACGTGGCTGTAGGTGTTGTGCATGGGTCTCATTCTAGGACCTGCTGCAGGCAACAGGAGCTACCTGCGGGTTTCCTCCTCTGGCTGCTCCAACACCCACTGGTATCTACAGCCCGCAGCCTCCCTGGGCCCTGCTCCTCTCAGCAGCCTGGCACCGGCACCGCAGCCCAAGGAGGCTACTGGGCCACAAGCCCCAGCAAATGCCTTCCGCCCGCATGCGAGATGAGAGGCCAGCTGTACAGATCATCCCGGGAGAAGAGGTGGAAATTGCCACAGATTCATGCTGGGAAGTGCAAGAAACAGCAGTCTAGGCAGTGGAAGGATTAACTGTGGAGCTGGTACCCACAATAAGATCCTAAATCTGTACTTTAAGATCTTAACTGTCCGTTATCGAAGTTGGGCAGAGAAAAATTACAGAAACAAGATAAAAATTGTTTAAAAATCTAGTAAATTTAGGTCTATGCCTTTGCTTTTGTCAAGTCATGTTCCAGCTAGTGAGGCTGATAATGTTCACTAGGATTACTTTGAGGAAACACCCTCAGAGTTTTCATTCTATCACAGACAAACGGGAGATGCCATAAAGAACATTATTTTTCCAAATGATGTTACAGCAGCCTCATGACTTCCAAAAACCAAAAAGTTTAGTTTGAGGATTTTCTTTTTAAATGTATTGGAGAAATAATAACGTTGTTCTTGATTCCACCCTTTCCCCCTTGAACCTTTGTAATGTATTAAAACTGATTACAAAAGTTCATCTTTCTGGAAGAAAATCTGAACTTAGTGACTCAGTTGCCACAAAATATTCTAAGAATTAACATAACTAAAGAATATCTCCCAATTTGCTTTTAAAAACTCTGCTAATTAACATAAAGACTGTATTTAATGCAGGCTCTGAAAAGAATAAGACTTCAGTGCTGTCTGTTTACATTTAAGGAACTGTTCTTAAAAGAAAGAAAGAAAACATTTTATTTGAATGCACCAAATAAAAATGTAACTCACTGTTTTGCCTTGGAGGCTCTGAGGAGTAATAGGCTGCAAACTCAGAGCTGCTGGCATTGACCTTCTGTCAGGCACAAAGACATGCTGTATAAAAACAAAATTGCACAGTATGAGCCATAGTTATTTAAAGAACCAACGAATATTACATTTTTTTTTTAATAACTCAAGTTTCCTTGTCACGACAAATTTGTTCTGACTTGTGATGGCTTTGGCTCGTCATGCTGTCTGCTGATCTACTAGCCTGGACACTCATCTTGAGTAGCTGACCTCTAAGTTTTAGAAATATACCAACTTTCATTTAATCGATCACCCTCTCTCGTAATGATATGAGAGATATCCCTACCAATAAGAGCCTGTAAAAGACGATTTTAGTTTTTAAACTAACACTGAAAACCACTTGGAAAAAACACACTGAAAACTGCTATAGCCTCTTTACAGCTGAGATGTCTTCCAGTGTCAAATTGACCCTGGTGTTTGTAAACAATCAGTCTGCTGCTACCCACTTCTTAGGAAAGGGTTTATGTAAGTAAGACAAAGTAAATAGTGTGAAAAAATGAAGAGAAAGAGTTACACAAACAGCTGAGATGTCTTCCAGTGTCAAATGACCCTAGTGTTTGTAAACAGTCAGTCTCCTGCTACCCACTTCTTAGGAAAGAGTTTATGTAAGTAAGACAAAGTAGATAGTGTGAACAAATGAAGAGAAAGAGTTACAAAAAGAAAAATCCATAAATATATATATATACACCAGAAAGCAAAACAGGTCTGAAAAACTTCCAAAAAGAAAGCTGGTAAACAATTTTAAAATGTTTAAACTGCTTTAAGATCCATCTTTAAACTTATTGCATGGTTGGACTTTCTTCAGAATAAGGACACCTAAGCTAAAGATTGAAGAAAGAGCCTCATGAAATTTAGAAGCATTTTATAGAGTTGATTCTAGAAAACCTATTGCTTTAGATCCACTTTAGATGATACAAGGGAGTGAGATGCCTGCATATCCACAAATTACTCTGAAAAATACATTTACTGTGTCCTTTTCTCCCTTTAAGGGAAAGGCAATGGCATGGGCAACAGTACTAGGACAACATCTTTTCATCAAACAAATGAGGAAAATTGCACAATTTTTAATTTTCTTTTTTAAGCAAGCCTTTCTCCATGAAAACATCATGATGTAATTTAATCTACATTTCAATGAAATATACTACAGTGGAACAGAATTGAATTTTTACAGAAATCAGACACTTGTAATAAAAATCCATACAATTTAAAAAATATCGATATTAAAAGCAATATATTACCTTAGCATGATGCGTCCTATGCCTGCGATCAATAGTTACATCTCCCCTTTGCACTGGCGAAGACACTTCCGATCTATAGGTCCGCTGTGGGGAATATCCTTGGAAACCAGCTATTGAACCATGAGAAGGTGAGGTGGGAATCGAATGCATAGCTTGGTCAGAAATATTAATCATAGTTTTGGGACTACTTAACGTACTGTGTCTCGTAAGAGTCGTTTGCTTATTGTAAAACTGGCGCTGCTGCCACTCGTAGAGCTGCCACATCGTGTCGTCGCGCATGGAGCGGCGCTTCTCCTCGGCGGGCGCCACGGCGCGCTCGTAGGCCGCCGGCGCCGCCACGCCGCACACACTCTCGGGACGCGCCTTGCTGTTCCTGGGCAGCGTCCGGTAGCCCTCCGGGTACCGCGGCACGACCGGAGCGCGGTGGCTCGGCATGTTCCTCGGCAACGTCTGATACGAGATTATCCTGAAAGACACAGGTGCCTTTCTGTTAGGTGGCGACCTCAGTATGGAAATACGAACTTACTCGATAATTAAGTGGTTTAGCTATCTATCTATCTATCTTTTTTTGGAAGACCCCAAGGATCATTCTAAAAATGCAAAAGCTAAGAAAGACAATAAGATAATCAGCTATACTGATCAAATGCATTATAAGCAGCTGAAATCAGATCCTATCTCATCAGATTACCCACTTGACAGTCCATTCTGTATTCCATCTTTCCAGCAGCTTAATTGTATAGCAGTGTCAATTTTAGATCAAATCTTGCGTCTATGGCTGGCTAGATGAAATTTTTGAAAGTTTTGAAAATTGCTTTCTGTTTCCAACAGTTAAATGTTCAATGTTTTCTTACTTCATAGTGGAAAATGCCTCCTATTATTTCTTTTAGAAAATCTTACGCAATTACTGTGCACATCAAATAGTTATGTATTTGTAACAACACGCCAAGGAAAAACAGCAATTATTGTCCCATAAAATTATATTGTTCAATCACTAGTGACAAGCCAATTCATATCAGCTATTCAAATGAAACAAAGAGCAAAGTGTTTCTTTGGATGATATTCTGGATGATTTTCAAATCAAGTAAGAATTTCAAGCCTTAAGCTTTGATTTCTTGCCATATTAAAATCCCTATGCATTATAGTCATTTAGCAACTTCTCATTTGGCAACTTCTAGGCAGCAGCATTTTCCAGAGCAAAATAGCATCGTGTTCAAGTATTTCTTGTCTTTTCAGAGGTAATTATATAGCTCATAGCCAGTGACTCATTCAACTACCCCAATGAGTGCCACCAATGCCTTTCGCTACTGGACCTAGGGTGGACACTTTCCACAGTGAGGGAGACAAAACTTCGTCTCAAAATGGACTTCATCTCAAGTTGGACTTCATCTCAAATGGATTCGGCCATCAGAGGGCAGCAACTTGTAGCTGCACCTTGATTAGGCTAATGGCAGCTGCAGCCCTAGACCTAGGGCAAAGGCAGGGTAAGGCAGAATGACATGTGCTGGATTCTTACACCAAAACTAGTAGGGAAATTGAGGGCAGAACCTACCTTCCACTGAAAAGAGTGAGTTAAGCTGCATATTATGACCGCCTGGAACATTCTGCAGATGAAAGCTGCTCTAGAGCTTTACCAAGACGGAATCTGACTACAGTTTCTGAGGCTTTCCTTGAATTAATGAAGTATTATCCCCGTTTTATAGACTGGGCAAACTTGCTACTTTCGCTGAAAATTTGCATTTTGGGGCTTCGAATCAGCAAGGAAGTCTGTGACCAAAAACAAGGAAATAGATTCTTCATCCTATTCCTTCACTAAAATCTGCTTAAATACCTCTCTATTTCTTCATGTCATTAATTATAAGACCTTATCATAATGCTAATGATGATAAATAATATAAATAATATATTTGTAATGTATTAATTACACATTTTATAATCTTAATACATTCAATATAATATATAATTACAAATAAGTGTTTATAAGCATGTTAATGATAATTATTAATCAATAGTAATTATCATTATACAAGGCTTACTCTGTATCTCCTTATAAAAAAATCAAACAACCAAGATACTTTGTGGTTAAATTCCTGACTTTCAAAACACTATTTTATCTATTTAGAAATGACCCCGCTGAAGTTTGAGTTTTTCATTAAGAAACCCAGTAGCTGGATGCTTCTCTCACTAAAGCTCCGCTCCCATTTTATTAATTAGTAGTTATTCTAATCCTGTTGTCTTCTTTAAAAGTCCTGGGCAACTTAGAGGAAAGCTTTTCGTGTGAGGTTCCCAATACGCAGGGAGGAATTTAAATTCTCCTTGCATTTCTTCATGTTCTAGAGCACTTATGAAGATGTTTCCATCTTTTAGACTATGAAAACTGTAGAAAGCCAACAACATCAATATTTTACATCATCTGATAGAAAATTCACCAACAGCCTGTTGATAGTTGTAGAGTTTATTCTAATTGAATCCCACAAAACTCAACTCTCTACAGTGGTACAGCTTCTGACTGCAAAATGGTCAGTGCCACAACGATGCAGAGCACACCAGGCTGCAAAGTATTTCTGCAAATGCATTGCACTCGGCCCTGTGCAACCGCACCAAAACATTTCATGTCACAGACCACTCAAGTGAAACTGCATGAAGATATCTCCTCGTCACTCACTGATGCCAAACTACTCAGCAGCACAAGGACACTACAGCGGAGCGCTGTATTTGTGGGTTAGGAAGCACGCAATGCGCAGGCTCCCCTTGCTCGTGTGGCTCTTGCAAAGTGGGATGTCCCTTTCCACAGAAGTAGCAGATAAGAGCTTGAAAAATTGAAATATTTGTTGCGATCATTAATTTCTGAGGCAGTTGCAAAGTGCTAAGGAGTGAACCTGTTGCTCTAAATGAACAGTACTTTTTCCATAAACCTTTTTCACTCCATCCTGAGCAGCATCTACTTAGTAAGTAATTATGTAACTATAACTCTGTCTTTTAATCTTGTAGTATACCTAAAAGTCCTAATCTCTCGTTTGTGTTTTTAAGCCTCACACATCACCTGGATCGCATTTGGTCCTCAAGAATTCCCCTAACACAGCAGGAGCCTGAGAGAACAGTTTTGGAAATCAGCTTTGGGGTAGCGAGCAAGGACTACTTTCCTCAAAAACAGAAGTCATGAATTTAACAGCTCTTACTAAAAACTATCTTATATCTTTACCACCAAACCTTAAGCTTTTAACCTGGAGCTTCTTTCTACTCTCTGTCACCAAGTTCAATTCTACTTAGACTTCTGTCTCCAGCCGGAACCTGGCAATCTGAACCAAGTCAAGATTTAAAACGTAAATGAAACCACATTTTAGAGACACCATTACACATTAGAAATACTCTTTAATTCTCCAATGCCACCTCCACACATCAATGTGAGGAAGATGCTACAAGGACAATTTCTCTTTTACTTTGGCAGTTTTCTGTGGAATCAAAGATCTAAGAAAACTTCCTGTGCAAACCACGCCATTCATAGTTAAGTCATAAATATTCTCTATAGCCAAGAATAAAATACTTCTGAAAAATAATATATTGCTAATAGCATTTCCGATTCTCATAGCGAAATCAGTGTGTTTCAAAATACAACAAAGGCAGCAGAGTTGTGGTAAGAGTCACCACAGTGAAAGGGAGGAGAGGGATAAAGACTTAAGGTTTTAATGCGCACAGACGAAAACCAACAGAGCTATTCACATCTCCAGTGTTTGGATGCAAGTTTTACAGTCCAATTTAGAACATCTAATTGCAGCAAACAACTTTCACTGTTAGCCAAGCACACACAATAAACAGACGTCAGAGTGTGGAAGCTGCTTGCTGTAGTGCAAACACGAACTTGATCAAACTATTCACTTGAGGAAGCAACACTTTAACAATTCCTAATTATATTTAATGAAGGAGTAAAGTCAATGGGAAAACTTTCAGCAAATTCTGGCAAGCTTAAAGAAGAATAATGTAAATTGCCTCAGGTTTGCAAAGAAACAAAATAAACACCATCCCCCTATTTTAGTATTTCAGGAAAACAGCTCTTGTGAACTTGAGTAGGTCTTAATCTCAGCTGTACCGATAACCTACAAGCGAAGGCCCTAGATGTCAACTTTCACAGCATCTCCTGTGACACCATCCCCATCGCTTCTAACTAATGGAATCAGCTTTTATATACGACCAGTAGGGCTGCCTGTCTGTAAGCTAGGCTGAAAGCAATGTCTCTGCACTTCTGTCAAACAAAAAAAGTGCTATGAGCAGTAGATTAAATGCTGTCAATCATTCACTGCCATATTAAAGCTTCATAAATAAGCACTGGAATTCAATATTAGAACTGGGAGATGTTTTCTTCCAGCAGGAAAAAAAGGTTTAAGCACCAGGTTAGATAGAAACTTAAATAACTTTCTCTAAGGTAATATTCTTTCTAATAGTCTCTCCCTCTTTTACTAAAGCTTGTTTAAGCATTAAAAGCTGTTTAGAATATTCTTTGAAGAATTTTACATGAAATTTTATTACAAGACCTTATAAATGAAACAAAGAGGTAGAGCAATTTCAAGAACAGATTTTAGGAGGAGAAGAAATGGTAGGATTGATGACACCTTCACTCTGCTAAGATAGAGAAATTTTTAGCATCTGAAAGGGATTTTATTTATTAAAGTTACTAACAAATTAAATCCTATTAGTAATCACTCAATGTTAATAAAATAGGAAACTCTAATGGAGCTGCTCTGAGCTTCTTACAAAGAGTAGTGAACTACCTATTTACATGGTACAGATTGATAATGCACAAAGGAGCAAGCCAGGATACAAGTGTACATGCTGTTTAGTAGAAAGCCTAGCTACAAAAAAAAAAAAGAAAAAAATATTAGGTAGTACTTACCCTCTGGTTTCCTCCTCTTGCCCTTTTCCTCTCTGTATTTTAATCCACTGTTCCAGCTGCAGCATCGAGTTGGTTCTCTGCATGACTCGCTCCGACTCCACGTGCGAGGGAGCTGCGTTGTGGTGGCCTCCGTCGCCCGCGTCCGCCAGGACCCCTCCAAGAGCTTTATGCTCAGACCCGTTCAAGTGGACTGGCCTGAAGTGCCCAGCCTGAACGGTGCTGGTGGGCAAGGTCCTGTATTCTGACCCCAAAGGATTTAGCTTTACGCTGTTAATTTTTGTTAACGGTTTGTCTTGCCCAACTTTCTGAAATCCGTATTTTTCAGCTTCCAAAGCTTTCTTCTCTTCACTTTTGTTTACTTCTTTGTTTTTCTGGTTATTTTGTGTCTCTGGCTTAATTAGCACCCGGTGGTTGGAAATATTATTTGTTTCTCGAGGTGGTGTGTTTTCAGTGGTTAGCTTCTCTACTCTGGAAAGGAACATATGACAAGCTGTAACATCAACAAAACACACGTAGAAAAAAAATAAAATGAATCCTATGTGTTAAGGGTTGTTTCACGAGTCTATGTTCAGGTATTTTAAACTAACACTTTCAGAGACAAATCCTGGACACATTTTCACAATAATCAATGTCAATTGTTTTGCTATGCTTCTCTATTTCTTTGTTATATTAAAAGTTTAAGATAGATTTTTTTTTTCAAAATTTTCTTCAGCAAGAGGAAATTAAGACAGACTCCAGAAAAGCAGATGTTCCGTTCCCAAAGAACTGGATATTTGAACACAAAATTCAATGGTTCTTCAAGAGTCAAAGCTTCCAGATGTCAACAGCCTGAAATTCAGACTGTTTTTAAATCAGTCTTCAAAAATGGAAGCACATTATGTTGCTGACTAGCCTGTGATTCACAAAATTACTGCATTTATCCTATAATGAGTTCCTTCAAACAAAACAAACAAACAAAAAAGGCAAAACCCACAACAACTTCTCATGGTTGCTGGCATCAATTAGGTTTCTCTGGTATGTTATCACTTTGGCTCTTCTACACTTTGTGGAAAACAACTGTGGCTTCTCTAATTTTACAGAAGAAAATAGCTGCTGACTGCGGAACTGCACCACAGAAATAAGTACATATTTTTAGAGCAGTCCCTGTATGTAGTTCTATTAGTCTCTGTTTAGAGATTTCAAAAAGCTGCATCTTGTCCAGAACTGAGACATGATCCGAACATCCCGTTCAGATGGTGACCCAAAAACACACACACACACAAAAAAAAAACCCCTAAAATGTTTTGATCAACGTATTTGGGCATATGACGAAGAAAGGAAAAGATAACGCTCTTTAAGGATTACATATCTGTATAAATCAAAAGTAAGAACAAATCCAATACATTTTAAGGTTACATTAAATTGAGTTCTCAAACTGCTTTGCATCTTTTTTATTTTTGGCAAATGCATTATTTCTCTTTATAACTCTATATGTAAAAGGCTATCACATAAACAAATCAGCAAGAGGTTTTCTCGTACAGCACCTTGTACAGAGGTTAGATACATATGATATATTCTGCCAATAGAAAGGAGCTGGCAGTATTTCTGACCACAGTAATTTCTAGAGGAAAGCAAAAACAAAAGGAAAAAATTGAGTTTTCATGGGGGCTTTTGCTGGAGAGGAAGGAAGGACCAGTGACAGAACTGCCACCCTCACATCATCTTTTCTATCATTCCCAGGTATCAGCAAAGAACTATTATGCTAGTGTCCTACTGCACTTTATAAGTGTGTTTGGTTTTTTTTTTTTTCCCAAGACTTTAAGAATGTTCTTAAGAAGACCCAAACTTTTCTACTCAGGATACTTCTCAACAGTATGCACTACACCGTGCAGTGCTTTACCATATACTAGAGGCATTTTTCAAAGAAAGTGGATAAAAAAACCCGTGAATTTCTCCAAATTATCTACCAAGAAAATAAAAATTTCACATCCCAGTCACCACTCTAGAACTTGAACATAAATAATATCTTGGAAACCATCCTTCACACAGGATTTTTTTTTAATGTACATGCCCTACACAGCGCTACACATATATAGTATTTGTAAAATAAGTGATTTACAGCAGAAAATCTGTTGCCATTTTACAAAGGGAGACATGGGTTTCTCTCAGGATATTCATCAGATTCGTATCAAATTCAAGACTGAAGCAGTGTTCTACCCACAGTACTGCATTTCCCCCTGCAGATCTTAATTAAAAAAAAAATCGCACAATTATTTTTCCACAGGATCTCTATCACTTCTTTCTCTGGCATGTGGTATACACAACAGAGCCAAGTATTTCTATTTGACCTTCAGTTTGATGGTGCACTGACTGAATGACTGACACCCAAATTGATTAATATATATACACACACACATATATATATATATACACAGACTTCTGGGCTCTCCTTTAATCCAAGGATTAATTCAAGCAACTCAGCGTCTGCAAAAGATTTCATTCAACAGAAAGATTGCAAATGGGAAAGAATTACCAGAAACTAGCTTGTTAGTGTAACAAATATAAACCCATGCTCTTGAAGACACCTTCACCAGGACTTGCACAGTATTTTAAAGATGGGAGAGCGAGGAGACAAAAAAAAGAAACAAACACAGAACAAAGATGGGCTTCAGCGTATGCTGACTGCAATTTATAGGCTTCATCAACAAACCAGGAATAAGCAGTAAAGGAAAACAGTATTTTCAACTGTTTAAAATATATAAACTATTCTAAAAGTTCTCCTTTCCTAACATCAGCATGAGACTGTATTAGACAGGCTGTATCACCAGTGATGCAACGAAGCCAGGCAGCGGCATGAGAAAAGCAAAACAGCTCCGTGGGAGCACAGCGAGGCTGGCAGGACCCCCATGGCGGATGCCAGTTGGCTGACAAGCCCTTCTAGAAACAAGAACACCGAGAAACAACTTCTCTGCAGCACATGCAGCTGCCCTGAAAAAGACAGAGAAATCGTGGGGGAACAGAGAAACCAGGCGGCATTCAGGGTAGAACCAGTAAATCACAAGTTTGGTGGATACTAGCCTCTACAAACGCAAGGAAACAACAGCTACGCATAAATACAACTCAACGACAGCCTGCAGGGACACACCACGGCATGAATAAAATGTTTTGCTCATCTACAGAGGTTGCTTAAGATCATACTTTGAGTGATAAGCCTAAGTAGTTCCTGCCCGATTAAAGTATTTAGGTTTAATTATTTTGATAGGTCCCCTCAGGACATGATTAAACTCAAAACTATTATCTAGGCAAAATAAAAAGGCATAGAAAGCAGTAATTACAGTTAAGTTCATGAGACAAAATATAGAATAGTTGTCCTTCCTCTTACACATCAGAGGGAGGTTTCCCATTTCAAGCTGATAATATTTCAAGATCTATTCTAACAGAAATGGTTACATTTCAATTTTCCTACCTCAATCCCTCATTTCTGTATTATGTGGCTCTTTACATATGGAAAGTGAAAATAGCTGATGGATTACTCAGCAAAAAACTACTTAATGTTTAAATATTCTTATCTTTTTTCTTTCTGAGCAACTCTCACCCTCAGAAAGATGAAGATACAGATTCTATCAGTGAAATTATTTAAATTTGAATAATAGAGCTTGACAGATTGTTAAGATTTTCAGAGTATCCTCACCACAGAAGTCTCTCAAGTTCTCGATTTCAAGAACTATTCTGTAAATACTCTGATTTATCATTGGGCAATTCACACCAAAAAGCACGTACAACTGGCTCTACAGTAATTTGCATATATTTTTAACGGAGTAGTTTCTCTTAAAAACACTAGCTATAATTTCTCAAAGAGCTGGTCCGCTGAAAACCTGTAGTCAAAGCATATTGGAAACTCTAGAAGAAAAAGAATTGAGAAAAAAGGCACCAGATGAATTTCTGATTCAACCAAAACAACTTATCTTGTAAGCTACCCACATGTCAAACTCCAGGTTACTCAGAGATGAGGCAATACAATGTTTAATACTTAACAGATTTTTACACGGAATAAGCAGTATTTCTGCTGGATAAGATCACACTATGCTCAATGGTTCATTTTAAGGTCCAAAATGATAGCCAGAAGATGAATTCTTCAAAAACGGATGTCGGAATCATTTTTTTCTCCATTATCGCTAACAGACGTGAAAGTCTAGGAGACTTCACTGGTGTTGAAATGTATCTTCTATTAAGCAATTATTTTAACGATATTAAAACCCTGCAAAGAGGCCGAGTTGCTCTTGTTTTGTTCTTTTCTTTCCCTGTTAGGTTTTTTTTTTTTTTTCCTCCGGAATTAAAACAATAAGGTTGGTGCTAAACAGGTGCTATTCTTGTCTCCTACACTTGACTGCTGGTAAGCATTTGTGGGAGCACAGCCTAGGAAGCTAACCTATCCAGCAAAACTGGGCAAGAAGTCAGGCAGCACTTTGTAAATACCTTGATATCCTATGAGGTTGTAAACGTGACCCTACCCCTGTATTAATGAACCCAGTAAAAGAGTGATTATTTACATCAAATTTAGAATATATATCACAAGTAATTCTATAATAATTGTTTACATATTTAAATTTACTAAGCACCTTATGTAGAACATTGTCTATTGTGAGATACTACGAAAAGACCTACTAAGCGGGTTCTGTCAAGGAGATGTATTGTTTTTAAAAATTTTCCTCTCCTCCACTGTAAGGAAAAGATGTCCTCTTCAAACATTCAATCTTTACAATATTGCACATAACAAACGAATTTCTTTTGAAACAAATGAAGGTCCATTCACTGGTTCAAATCAATTCGGCATGACCCACTTACATATCACTTGTCTAAGGGTTTGCAAATTAAAGGATTAAACCAAATTAGACCACTTTAAACAAAAATCTTTTCTTCTTCTGTAGGTACCTCAGCTATTCACAATGCATTCATAGTGCAACTTAACACTGATTTTTCAAATGAGGTTTATTATTAACTAGCCTAGATGAGATTTTTATCCTGTCGAAGTAACGTCATTATTTTAAGTGTAATCTCTTCTAAAGTAAAAGAGAAACTAAAGTGAAATTGGTGAAATTAAAGTCAATAGGAAGCACCTATTTGTGTTCTGGCTTACTCTCTGTTCACCTTTTCCACACATGGTGTATCGTTCCCTAAAACAAGAGGAGGGAGATTACAGGAGATTAACATCATATCTTCAGAGGAAACAACACCTAATCATATCCAATTTCATGATGAAAATTGGACCTGCCACTCATCCCTTCTACAAGCTGACATCTTTTATTTAGTACAGAGAACATTGTTTTTCTCTTAGTCTATTTCACTGTGCTGTCTGATGCAAAAAACTAAAAACTTGATATATTTAGATATATAGCAAGGTAATTGAATAGAAAGTTGAAATCTTTTTAAATTGAGTGAGTTCTGTGTGCTTACTTTTCTGCAAAAACAGCACCTTTTCCTTCTTTGCTACCTGCTTGACTTGAAATTTCTCATAATTTACCACCGGTGTAGCAGGAAATAATGGAGTACAAAAGCAGACCTCGAGACAGCAGCCAGCACCAGCCACCATCCTTCAGGCAGCACTTCCCACTTCACTTGATTTGTTGCCTCTGGCTAAATTAACTGGTCGGTTTCACTTATTCTAGCCCCTTGCTCTTGAGGCACCTATAGTCAGAACAGACCTCAGATTTTGCTACGCCAAACTTTTATCTGGTACTGTTAAATTAGCAAGGGTCCTTAAACATAAGAAGGAGTTACTTCAGCCCGATTTACATTTTATTTTAACTCAGTAAAATAAAAATAATTCAAATAAATCAAATACAAGAAAGAAATACACTGATCCAGTGCTTTGCCAGTCCACATTACCTTTTCACAGGCTCTGTCTGCACAAGTGCTGCATCTGTCATGGCTTTCATCCACAACTCCATTTCCTTCCCTGTATCTGTGCAGAAATAATAGGTCCTCATGTTTGGATGAGCTGCCTGATTGGAAATGACATGGTCATTGCAATAAAAATATAAGGTTCTGTAAAAGAAGAGAGGCAAATAATGTTACTGTCTACTTGTTCTATGTTTCTTTATTTAATAAGATTTCTGAAAACAGTGTTATCAGAAAAAACTATTGAAATAAGTGTTTCAATTACGTTCCTCTTAATGAATTTACATTTAATAATTTATTGTAATTTTCAATCATAGCTTCTTCTTCATTAATACACCTGATTAAAACGCCTTACATTTCTTAGAGAAAAAAATCCTGGCTATTCATTAGTGTAAATGAATATAAATAAGAAGGTTTGGGAAAGATTTTCATGGTCTCAATAGTATAGTAAATTTTAACTTGTACTTACCACTGTAAATAAGTGATGCGCAGTTTAACAGGCATTAAGAAGCTCATAGCCAAAAGGAGCCGATAAAGCAAACAAACAAACAAAATGGGTCAGGAGAAAATATTTAGCAATTTATTTTTAACATCTGATTTATAACACGATTAAAATCAGCTATAAAACATTCCTTGTAATGATTTGTGTAATGCTGTGATTTAAATGATACTAAAAATCACATTTTACTTATATATAAATATAAATTATATCTAAATAACTACAACACCTTCATTAATGAAAATCTAGCTGTCGAAGCACTTTACAATTCCAAAATACCAAATACTATTTCAGACTCATGAACTACATCTACAAGGCTAGTAATAAACAATACTACAATATTCACCCTTTTCCTTATTCTAATAGTGAAGCTTGTACTTACACCTGACTAAACACTAGAATCCTTTGATACAGTATTATGCAAAAAAAACTCAGTTGTTGTTTGCCAACCCTACTTTGCATGAAAACTCAGTCAAACACATTCCGATCACTACACAATTGTACTTTCAGATATAAAATTAAACTGAAACACTGGACTTCCTCACCTTAAAGGCGTATTTGCGGTTAATATGGTCCTCAGGAGAAAGAACAGATATCTGAAAACTGGGTAGAAGTATGCTACCCAGTATTCCTTCTTCTTTCTCATCTAGAAATACATAATGCTTGATTAGGGAAATATTTTGACGCATGAGACTCTCATTCAGACGCTTATTACCTGGAAATTTGTATTTAACACAACACGACTGTATCCAAAAGGGTGTTGCTGGTACCTGTGCACGGCCACGGATGAGCACGGTCACCCCAGGGATCGTGCCAGAGAAACCAGAACAGGTCATCACGTCACTAGCCCATCCTCTTCCATAAATCCATCAATGACAGCACATGCTGTGAGGGAATTTGATCCTGCCCCTTCAGAGCCCTTTCTGGACATGGTTCACACTTGGACAGTTCGCACTTGCTGGGAAATGACAGGAGGTCTACCTCTCTAAGGAAGATTTTCTGAATGTTTCCTCTGGGAAACCACAATAAATATTCTTCTCTCCCAAAACTGAAAATTTTCCTCTGAAGTCTCGCACTAAATAAAGTCACTACAGTGGAAAAAATCAGTTTTTAATCCAAATTCAACTGCATTTCTTAAAATAAACAACTATGGAGTCACTAATATTTCTTAATGGAGATCTCTAGAGGTCCCTTCCAGCCTTAAGGATTCTATGATTCTATGATTCTACAGAGATATTTTGATTAATGGAGAAACATGAAAGGTGATAAATTTGCAGAAATCTGTAATGACACCTCAGAAGACATACACAGTACACTGACACTGGTGACACTGACACAAAAAGGTGCCCTCTACTGAAATTTGTTTGCAAGAGTCAATTTTCCTCACTTTATTCAGTCAATACAGTAAAATGGATATGAAAGTTTTCATTACTTTTCAAATATATATTTCTAACAAAATAGACCATATTCTATGTATTATCCTTAGAATTAAGTTCTTTGTTTTATGAATTAAATAGGAATACATTTATCAAAAAGGGGGGAGATTTTTGGTTCTCATCTGTCCTAATTTATCATTCGTTTAAGTTTATTTGATTTTGATTAAGGTTACCAATATCTAAAATATGAAAACAAAAAACAAATAATCAATAGGCTATATGCAAATACTGCATGTTCTATATAAATCTGATGAGTCCATGATTTCCTGTTGCCAGCAGCACATGGAAGGGAGCTAAAGCCAATGCCACTCCTATGAAGCTTAGTGAAATCCCGGTGACCTGAATACTTGTCCTGAGATGGACACGTATTTAAAAAAAAGGAAAAAAAAAAAAACAACAAAAAACCCTCTGAAAGTGCCCAAGATAGACACTTATGTGAGCCACCTTACAGAATCCACTGCTTAATGGAAATGGCTTCCCTGAATAGCTTCGCTTGCAGTTTATCTGTGGATCACTGCTTACCTGTAGGCAACTTCAAAACCAAAAAGATGGGGCCACCTTCTAATCCAGCAGTAAGAGCAATACCTGCTATCTTTTGTCTACTCAGTTAAAAAATTACCAATAGCTACGAGAGCAGAAGTATTTTAACACACTGCTTCTGATTGCTGGCCCTGGAGACAATTTGCATGTGTCTCCACTTGTTGACTGATGTCAGGCATATTAAGCCACGAGATGGTTTTTATTCTCTTTGCCAACAGTGCACAATCAATAATTACATTCCATTTGTGAGAATATATGTTTTAGATCATTTGCAACAAAAGAAGTATTTCCCCTGAAAATTGTTTTACAAATTTTAGAATGATACATAAAAATTACAAATTAGTATTCTAATTGGAAGTCACAGCCAGCTTTTAAATCCAATTATGATTTTAATAAAGGGATAATTGGATGCAATTCACAAAGTCAATCTTAATTACAGTCCAAATACAGAACTTCTATTCACAACCAATATTTAAAAGATTGCTCCAAATACTCTTAGTTCAAGATACTGCTCACAATAAGTGACTGGATCTATATGATTAACATGAAAAACATTCTAAAATTTCAAGCACAGAAAATTAATACTGTTACAGTTAAACCAGCTATAGAAAAATACACAAAAAGACTAACACAAATGTGGATTTCCCTGGTTTTTGTTCAGACCATTGAATTCTGAAAGGCCACATTTTTCATTGCAGTTATTTAGCCAGGAAAAGCTCTTCTCAGCTACATTAGCCTCACATTATTTGCTCCATGTAAAAGTTAGGCTTTCTTAACTAGATAGCTACTTGGAGAACTGTAACTATAAAAGTTATTTTGATTTAAAAATATCAAAGAAATAAAGGGGCGGGATTTAGTTTCAGGTACTCAACTCTCTGCTAAGAAGCTTGCTTGAAACCACCTCTCCTCCCCACTCCAATATTGACTCTGATAAACACAGTATTTGTTTCTCCATATTTCTCCCAGAATATGTAACAAATCTGGAGTCTCTTACTTTATGTGGACTATGGGTTTGGGAAACATTTTCCTCTTTTCTAGGCTTTGAGTTTTCTTGTTCTAAGTAAGTCGCACTCACTAGTGCTATATAAAAGCATTAAATATTTTCCATTGTATAGCTGCATGTCTGGAAGACACTGCTCTTTGTTAAGGCATCCTGCTGCATTCCTCTTTCAGCTTTTAAAAAACTGTTTCCCAAAAGATTAGCTTTTATCCGCACATTGCATTGTCCCCGTACCCATCTTTGCTTGAATACAGTATTTGAATAATCAGGAGAAAAACAGCAGATCTTTGTTCTAGTGCTAAAATCTTTTATTTGTTGCAACAATAACCTCCTTACACGGAGGCAGGCAGTATTTTACACCCCTTGGTGAAACGGATAAACAGTAAGCTCTAAGCACGGGCAAAATACAAGAAAAACCTTTTTCATTTTATCTGTAAAATAGATTTAGGCTTTAGCTGCTATCATTGCAACTCCAAATGTATAAGTTCAAGAAGTTTGAGTGACCTCTTCTTCTTTAGATGATCAGACAACCAGAAATACAGCATCCTAAGAGTAAGTGCATTGCTCCCCCCTTTCACCATCTGAATGAGATTGAATTCATCTAAGACACAAACTCCAAAGCACAGGATTATAATTGAGGCTTGCTGTTTTTAACAGTCATTTCTAACACCTTTAAGTTTACTGCTATACATGTGTTTAATTCCAATTTATCAGCTTTATCTGATTCCCAGTAAGAGAACAATAGATAAACATTAAGTTTATCATGTGGACACAATTTAGACTATTCTCTTACATTTCAGCTTATTTGGCCCACTTTAAAATACAGCTCAGGAAAAAAAATACGATGGAGAATTTATTTGATTTTGGTGGTTGTTTTGTTTTTGAGAGATTCATGTGCAATTCCTTGGGTCAGTTTAAGTCTTAACTCTAAAGCAATGATTACTTTGGAAGCGAAACCTTAAAAACTTGTTTCAAAGAAGAAAATCCTCCAAGAGAAGCCACACAATATGAAACAACTCCTTAATTAAATAGAGTAAAATTACTGCACAACCAATGTCTCCATGACTGAAATTGTAGCCCAGTTTTGACTCAGCAATGGTTTAGTCAAAAACATACTTTCTGAGGGTAAAGAATTATATAATAATATATATTATATATCTAAATATATATAATAAGAAGAATAATGATTATATTCCAATGATTTGGAATGATGAATTTATAAACATCTAAAAAGACTGATTCCTGACCCGATTTGTCTTGGTAAGTGTAGAGACAAGCTGCACTTTTAACAGAACAGCATTTTATTTTCAGCAGATGCTGCCTGCAGCATTATCAGCATCAGCTTGCTTACTTACTTACACCAATCCAAATGTTTCTGATCCCAAACTGAAACCCGTTCTTACCTATATCCTTTATAAGGCTGCAGATGGCTTTTACTGTTGACTTCCATAGATTTTGCTCTTAGCCCTCATCAAACAATTACTTTGGTACAACTTGTTTCAGGACTGAGTGAGTTTCCATGTGCACAAATCCCATGTGTTTATCCTCTCAGGAGCACTGCAGTTAATCATGTGTCACTGGGAAGAGATCAGTTTTCTACCACACTGATCTGCAGATTAGAATTATAAGCAGCTAAATTCCCCCAGTAAGATAAGTCTCATGTAGCTACATAAAGGTATGCAGAGGCAGATTTATTTTTTTCTCCATGTAGAGCAGAGACTTTTACTCATATGGAGCTGGAGAGCATTTCACTTAACAAGTTCTCCCTAACAGCTACTACACGTTTCCCAAAGGCAGGGATATCCTCGCTATCTGCCTGAAGTCAGAGTTTCACTCCTCCTTCACCAGCCCTTGCTTGTTCCCCTTAACTTGCCCAAGAAGTCAGATTTAACGTGGCCTATAAACCTTCGTAACAACAGTAGTAGTGAAAAACCTACGGCCCAGAACACAAACGTATTAAAGAGGTTGCTGCAATGAGATCTGCCCTTTGAGCATGCCTGAAAGGCAGGAAGCAATTATGTGAAATCGCTAATTAAGAAAGGAAGAGAAAAAGATATATATATACACCAGGCCGGCATATGGACAGCTGCATCACTGTTTTATTCATCAAGTTAAGCAGCAGATTCTTTTATCCTCTATTTGAGGGTCAAAATGCATTTTAGAAGGCTGTAAATTAAAATAAAAACTAAAAAATACAGTTGTATCAGGGTTACTACAGGCTTTATTTTAATTAAGTTTCCTTTTTCTTTCTGCTTCCAGTAAAATGAACCAACCTTCCCTGAATGAACCTTACCTCTGTAGTAGAAGAGACACAGATCTGAGAGCACAAACCACCGCTTCTTCCACAGCTTCATTCCAGTACTGTCCTGTATCAGTTAAAGTCATCAAAGAAAAACTTACTGGGCTGTTAACAGTAAATAGGTTGGAAAGTCAACTGTGTAACTGTGGCTGGGGTTAGTTGTTCACTTTCAAGGCTAAGCCCACATATTAAGTAGCTCTGATTTCTCAACACAGACCTGTTACTGAACATCAAGACGATTATCCTGGAGGTCTGAAGTTAGTATAATTCAATAATTAAATGAAGGCCAGATTTTCAACAAGCTGGAGACTACATTTTACATATACATTTTAAAAGAAATTGAGTAGGTGAAACTTTAAAAAAATCCTTCTTTGTTGCTTTCTGAGGAAACTATCTGCTAAACTTCATCCTCTGCTACTACTCGTGTACCTGAAGCAAATTTCTTCCTCACATGAAGTTTACTCCTAAAGCAATTTCATTTTCTTTTATGTTTATAAGCAATTTGCACTGCATAGCTCAGAATGAAAGCCTGGCACCACCACTGCAGTGTAAATAAGCTGAAGCACTGCAGCGTGCACATCCTGCTACGCTTGGATTTAATAAATATGTTAATCTGCTCCAGGAAGAAAGGTATGTGTGAATTATCAATATTCCTGTAGTGAATAGGTTTTTGTGACAACTAAGAGGAGAGATTCTATAATGAAATCTGCAACTCTGCTTATGGCTCAACTAAAAGATTTTTTTTTTTTTTTGAGAAAAGGCAGCATAATTTTTAGCCTCTTATTTCAAGCTCTGCTCTTCTTGGGGTGGGATGAAGAGCTGAAAGAGGGAGAATAAAGGGGAAAGCAAACAGGAGCTAGGAAAAAGCATCCACCAAAAGTTTCGAAACGCCTTTGCTGCCAAAGTTTTCATAAACAGGGTAACTGGGCACTTCATAGCACCTTACTTCTGGGCACTTCAGAGCGATTTAACACACATTACGGAAGCCTGCAAGTGCTGTCCATAGCAGTCAGCTCCTGTTTCACAGCTGGGCAGGCAGGCACAAAGCGGGAAGCGGCTCCCTCCCCTCCCTGCCGCGGTCACCGGCGCCGCAGCGGAGCAGAACGCGGCACCCCGGCCCCCAGGACACCGACCTCACAAAACCAGCTTCAGTGTTTGAGAATACCCCAAACATTTCAGTATACAGAAGGTTCTCAATTCACTAGATAGATTTTTTTTTTAAGGAGACTATTGCATTCCACCGCGTTTATCCTGCCATTCAACAGGTTGCTACACGGCCAACTGTCAAAGCCTGAGGCAGCGACACCCTCCAGGAACGGCTTTTCTGCCTGGTTTAGACCCAGCAGACAGAGGCACACAGTAATTACACAGCTGCCCTTTTTAAATTCTTTCCTACCTTAAAGCAAATCCTACCGGTGTAATAACCATTATTTCCTCTCAGCTGTGATAACGTTTTTAACAACTTCTCTGTGTGCAGGGGGGTTGGACTAGATGACCTCTAGAGGTCCCTTCCAACCTTAAGCATTCTATGATTCTATGAAATACTTTAGAAGAGTAACATTTTTCAACTGATTTTTGTGATGACTATGCATTTTGAATATTTCTCTATCGGTTTGACATGAAACAAGAGACATATATAACAGCAAGAATCTTTAGACCAAACCACTAAGTTGTTTTCACTTCTTTCCACACGTGTGAAATTCATTGCAAAGCATCCCAGAATAAAAAGTGAGATGGAAGTGAGGAATTCATCACGCCGCAACCAGAATCTGCCTAATTTTTCAAGCTCTTTGTCTATTTTGTAGAGGTAACAGATACACTAATGTAGCACTCTGTAACTGTCTAATGTCATTACTCAACAGAGAGTTATCCAATAAGTAGCTAATTATAATTAGTTTTTTAAAAAAGTGTCAATTCCTCCTGATTTATAGCTTCACATTAATATTCCCACCATTATATTTTGCACAAGTGACTCTTCTTGATGCATTAAACATATTAGACATCTTACAAAGGAAAAAAAAAAAAGGAGAAAAGGAAGAGGGTGGGGAGTACCTGCTTGTAGAGCCAGCCGCGCCTGACAACGGGTGCATTAGGATTCCTCTTTATTGAGTTGGATCTCTTCCCAAAATTATGAACCTTCTTTGAAGATCGTGATGTCTAAATTAAATCGAACAGGTTAAAGAAAACTTCGCATCGATATTTGTTGACTTTAGAAAAATCGTAACACATTTCCTTTCATGATCTTTCCCTTATATGTGCCTCTCTGGAGGTTTGCAGAATAGGTACTGTATTCCTTTTTTAGATAAGTAATTATTACAATGGTTCTGATGACTTCAGCATTTCTTTCTTTTTCCTCTGTAGGACTCTAACAGACAATTCCCCAGACAAGTACTTAAAAAGACCTTTTTTTAAAAATCAGGAAGAAAAACAAATATATTATTTGACCTTCTTACAAAGTAGGTATAAAGTCTGCCAAACTGTAAAAAGAGAACTAAAACTAGTAGAGCTAATATTAACTATGGAAAAAAAATTCATCATTTGGGCAGAAAAATTCTACTCTTCCCTGCTTACATCAAAGCCCTACTTGCAAACATGCTGGGATTTCCACAAGGTACAATTCAAGACTTCTTACTGGGCTTCCCACCTTCCCAAACACATACCTTTTTTTTTTTTCCTTTTCTTTTCTTTCTCCTCAAGGCCCTTTCCCTCTATCGTCTCTTGCTTGGTTTAAATATTGATTATTTTACCTGCTTGCTCTCGGATCTCCTTTGAAGTCTTTTGCTCTGTAATACCAGTGCTAACTCCTGCTCTTGACTGTACCTTTCACAACCTTATAGCTATGCAGTGATCACAGATAGTTAAGAAAAAATGCATAAATAACCTATTTTGGATGTCATTCCTCCTTCACATCAGAAATCAAAAGAAGTGGGAAGAGGCCTACAGAAAGCTCCAGTGCTTTGACATTCACACTTCATTCTTTTCAGCTTACGTTTGGGAAGTTTGCTGTGCAATTAACATAGCGAAACGTTTATTTTTCTTTTAGTTTCGGTAAGAAGTGGCGACTCGGGGGCCAAGTACTGTGGCAATGACGCTATCCCAATCTGCAAAGGGGACGTTCAAAATAAGTTTTTCAAACTGTGTTCTCGGCTCTGCTCCAAATCCACCCCTCTAATCCAGACAATACAGCCCTGTGCTTCAGCGTCGCCCTCGCCACCACAGAGGCATTTAACTAATGATAAGGTTATGCAAAGCTCCTAAATGAGATCCTCAAAGAGGAAGGCTAAACAAATAGGCTCCCTATCAGGTTTTGCTGAAAATTAGGGTGCTGGGGTTTCTCTGCGGAAACTTTCTCAGCATGGAGCACAGCACTGTGCTGAGTTTTACACGTGCTGCAGAGAGAACTCCAGTGCGGATTTAAAAAATCTAAACTGGAAACTGAATTCAAAATAATGCGCAGCTTTTGCCAGAAATACTACTCGTTTAACTGAAGGACACTAAGTCTAAGAAGTTGAACAAAAAAACACGTTACAAAACTTTTCATGGCGTGGTAGATTTAAGACAAACATGTATCAAAAAGCAAAGTTGTTTCCTCTTCCCTTTCTAAAGGATTAGGGGGAGATACGAAGGAATAGAGTGTTTATAAACCCATTTGGAGATACAAAAATTTATCCAAACACAGTTTGGGGAAAAAAAAAAAAAAGCTAACAATTGAGAAAAATATTTCAAATCTGTAGCACTTTCACCTCGAATACTGTATCATTGCATAATGCATGGAGGTTTGTAAGACACCAAGATAAATTAATAGAATTGAGAGAGCTCCAGAGCAACATTCCCAAATGTGAATGGCTAAAATTACGAAGCTGTAAAAGAGAAAAAATAGAAAGTATACAGAGAATCTGTAACAGGAAGATTAACTGTATGGCCACTATACTGGCACATGGCACAGGAGCTGCTTCAAGACACTGATGAGCAACTCATAGCACTGCTACCTGCTCTATCATTTGGTGCAAAAGGTTGAGGAGCGTTTCAGACCTCCTGTCTCTGTAAAACAGTTAATGTCTTGGGAATGCTTCTGAAAGCACAAACTGCATTAGGATCAAGTCTGCTAACAAATCCAGATCTCTTAAATTGATTTCTCTTCAGCAGGTCTGATAGCAAACCAGGTTGTCTCCAAATTCATCGAGCTCAGAACAGCCCATGTAACCCAGGGCGAACACAAACTTGCACTAACTGAGCAGAGCATCACAAGTGTTTTCCAGTTTTAGTTAGTTGACTCATACCATTATTTTACCACACTCTGCATAAATAGAGTATCTGTTCACAAGCAGTTCTGAGCCTTAGGACAATGAATATTTTAAGATGGTGGGATATCAGAGGAGTGTGTGTGTGTATATATATATATATATAAACTAATTATCACTCCTCAAACTTGTAAAATTATATTCTCCTCTTTCTCTCTTCTCATGATGCCTGGGATCCCCTGACTACCTTATGCTTCCTCACACGCACATCTTTAATATATGTCAAACTGAGGAAACAGGAAAAAAGGAAAGAAGAAAAAAAGAAAGGGTTCAAATACTTTTCACCCTAAGGCACTGAAAGCACAGCCCCATAGGACATACTGCACAGCTCTAACTTCTGAAGAAGGGAAAGAAAGTCAAATCTGGTGCCATCTGACCCCTGTTCTGAGCTAGTCCCAGCTGTGTGATGCCTCTGAAAGCTGAGCCTGTGGGATTCAGCACAGCTCAGGTACTGAGAAGAAAATACAAAATCCGGCCCCTGATATCCACACTTTCTCCTACCTGGAGGAAATAAAGGCTAGCAGGGTTTTGAACTCCGGGCAGCAGATCAGGCAGCACCTGGGGCTGCACACTCCTTTGCTCTGGGAGCTGCTCCCTGTCTAGTTGGTAGGTGACACAGAATTTATCGAAATTTCTTTCCCAGTTTCAGAACTAGTAAATTTATCTACAAAACGGTCTTATATTAACACAAAACTTATTATTTCTATATTTTAAAAACCACACTTGGGAATTTTACTGATAAGCAGGAAATTCTTTGCATATGAAGTTTAAAAAAAAGGGAATCTCATTTTTGTTCTCATATATTCAACTATGCTTAAAAATATGTTTCCCATCTTTAAGGCTTAGCTGATCTTCCAAGACCACAAACCAACACGATGCTGCCTTCTTGATTTTGCAGGCAATTTCCGTGCCTTCCACTATTGCAGCTCTCCATAAACCCCATCTTCTCCAGGCAGGAGCATCAGACTCGAAGTGGTATTTCTGGCAAAACAAAAATCTTCTCCAAGGGTCATCCCTATTCTAGATCAGCTAGGATTAAGAAAAGCGAGGACATATTTCCACATCCGTCAACTGTGTGAAACATACTAAAAAAACCCTAGTATCTCAATTCCTCATTATCTCCCAATATTAGACGTTTTCATGACTTTTCTCTGCAAACAGAACTATCTAAAAAATAAAAGGTGTGGCAAACTTGTGGAGCACCGTTCTAGTCCAATTTACTTTTCTCACCAGAATCTTCCTTCTCTTATGCTGAAATACACAGAGCCTCCATGTATTTTATTCACATTTTAACATGACAACACAAGAATTTCAAGCTCTACCGTTGGGGAGGTGAACAACAAAAGCAGAGAAGAGAATTAGTTGGGGCATCCAGATACAACTTGCGAGCGATTCCTAAACAGTTATCTTTTAACTGATATTATTCAAAGCTAGCCTTAAAGAGCCACCAAAACAAGGCTGACTAATATTAACTGTGGTTCTACATTGCAAATATTTGCCTCCTGAAAACAACACTATTAAAATGGTTTAGCAGCAATCCAGATAAGTTTACATTTGAAACTGATGAACAATAATTGCCTCTATAGTCACATTAATCACATTAATATTTTAAGTGTATTTAATAATTGGAATGAGGGTTAGCAGTGATGAAAAGTAGCACAAAAGCCTGTGCATCTTTAAAATATAATTAAATAATTTCCACAGGAAGCTAAAGTATCATTAATCAAATAATGTAAAGGAATTACAATAATTACCCTGTAGCAATCTCAATTTCCTTCTAAAACACTATGAAACAAACATGCTGAAGGGCAGTCTTTTAACTGCTCGTTTGAAAGAGGACCATGAAAATATATTTGTAAAACACGTGTTCCCAAATTGAAATTCATTTCTATATTTAACTTGGAAGCGCTTCCTAGGCAGTTCTGTCTTTCTGTAAAATGAGTTTCTATAGAACTCATTTTCTATATAACTACTACCATAATCACTATCATCATAACAAGCCTAAGAAATTAACAGTTTATTTATTTATTTTTTTAAACTGTCTCCCTCCCATGGACTTAAACATAACTTGAGACTATGTATGGATTTTGCTGCTGTTTACAATTCACCTGTGACTGTTTCTTTTCCAGCAACATTGATAGATTAAGGCCAGGGGCATTTTTTTCCTTAAATAATGGGTTTCAAATGTAGGTCAAGGATTCCGCCTTGCTAATGAGACACTTGTAATAACAAAAAAAAGTTTCAAAAAACACTCCTAAAGCAGCTTTTTCCAGATGCAAGCTTACAATGTTGCTCATCTATAACATGAAAACAAATTATTTCAATCCAAATTTCCTAAAATTAAGCAAACTGCAGACACCACTTGCAGACTGAATTAATCTGCTGTACTTGTCAGAATCTATAACATGAAAACAAATTATTTCAATCCAAATTTCCTAAAATTAAGCAAACTGCAGACACCACTTGCAGACTGAATTAATCTGCTGTACTTGTCAGAGTTAAGGTTTTCAATGCCTATATATATATTTTTTTTTCCAGGCTTTTTTGTTATCTGCCAAGTAGAACACATTACAAGGTTCTTGTCCCTAATCAGTGACCAAAGCTTTCAACTTAGTGTTCCAGTTTTTTCAAAAGACTAATTGAGTGATAAGGACAGAACTTAGGTTAAATACGTAATTATGTAGTAAGCGCCCTTTCCTTTTATGAAGGCTCTCCAGAAAGTAAAAAATGCACACAATATTCTCACCAGTGTAGTCCCATCATCTTTAAGCACATATTATTGAATCCATCATGTGCACAAATGTCGGGGAATTCCTTTACCTTCCCTGAAGTTGGATAAAGGGAGAAACGGGGACAGGATGATGCTAGGACAGCCAAGAAATGGAGTTCAGCACTTCTACTTGCAGCCCAATGGATGCGAGTCGTGATGTAGCTGCGAGTCGTGAACACCCATCTCTCCTTTAACCACTTGCATAGAATTATGGTTCTTTCTCTGTTTTACCTGAAGAAATCTGCTCAATTGTTTGCACATCTAGAAATTGCCACAGTGATGCATACCCAGATGACTGAGTAGTTGCTCAAAATTTTGCTGTTTCACACACACACTTGTTTGGGTTGTTTGGGAAGTTTAGGTTCCGTAAACAATTTAAGTAGGTGAAAGTCACACGATCCGTGATCTCTGACAAAAATTGCAGCTTCTGTGATAATTTCAGACACTTGAGTTTCCAAATTAAACGTGAAAGGAGCCAAATGCTCTAAGGCAGATGTATGTTTTTTCTTTCCCTCTTTTCAGATGGAGTACTAATAACAAAGTTTCTCTGTGAATAGCACTCTAGTACCTTATGGAGTAACTATTTATATTTTAATTTAATTTGGACACAAAGACTTACTCTGCCCACAGGGCTCATGGGATGAGCAGCATAATCTGATGTCAAATTATAGTTAGTAGCTTCACATATCATGCTTACTGGTCGCTCTTTCTTTTCTTCAGATGTCATAGCTGCAGCAGTCCTGAAAATAGAATATGTAATAGCACTAGAACATGCTGTGTCTGCAGATTGCTATTAAAAAGCATTCCTAGATGTTGCCTAATAGGAACTGTGCCCTACTTTTCCTATTTTTAAGCAGTTCACATTTCATTGTACAGGTACCTACACTGTGATTTAAAAAGGCCATTAAATTATACAGCAAAGGAAAACTTAAATTTATCACAGATGAATTCTCTATTATTCTAAGGGGTTGAAGGGAGGGGAAAAGGCAGTTATGAGCACGAGGCAGAAATGGTGAGACACATTCTTCAAAGACCCCATTTGGCTTTGACCCACTTGTGAAAGCACTTATGTTTGTTCAGTTTCTCATATTCCAAGTCTCTCAAGGCCTTTCTTTAACCACTATTTCTGGTGCTGCAGCGATGGTGAGAAATAGGACACCCAATACCTGGCCATATATAATATCCTGATGTCAGTACTGTACACTTCTCATACCATTTATCTTTTTCGGGAAAGAATTTGCTGTTTACGCTATAAAATTAATGCTAAGATAGCAAGACAAATCATTACCCACTATTTAGAAAGTGCCTAGACTAGCCAAGAAGGCAGCCAAATGAGAAGAGTACTAGGCAAAGCAATATAAATTAAATAAACTTGATGTTCCCTACAGGATTCAAAAATAGATTCCTCGTTGGTAATTTGCTAGATTTTTTTTTTTTTTTTAAAAAGGCTATTTCCAAAACTAGAGCTGAATAACCCAGGTGACAAATGGAAATCCACTTAATGCAGTTCTATTATATAATCAATTTGCGCTATGGTTTTTTATCTTAAAAATTAGTACTAAGTATCACTTTTGTATAATTAAAAGGTCTCCTTGTTGGTACTTGGGCAAGTTGCAAACTTTGTAATTAGAAATCACTGGAACATACTGCAATACTAACACACTCCAAAAAAATACATATTTTATAGCCTTAAACAGATGTCACTTACTGCTCATTCACAACAAAAATACAGTTGTCCTGCGATGGCTGTCCCGTTACTGGATGTTTGCAGGTTACTTTCCGTTCATTATGACTGTGGAAGAGAAATAAGAAACTTATATAGATATTGTTCAACTAGATATTGAACTTTTCAACTCAGTTACATAAATCCAGTGCAAGCACAGAATCCCAGCGAAGGTAATCACCAATATTTCATTACGACATGTACATAACTCCATGTCTCTTCTCATAACCCAGCCACACAAATATACACACTCATAAAAAGAATCGTTCAAACAATTAAAGACCCCTCAAAATACTTCGGGGTGGGAACAAACACGGAGGAGAAAAGCCTGCTTGGGTGCAAGGTATCAGAAGAGGGGCAGAAGAGCCATTTTCTCCCTGGCAGCGACCTCTTCACTGCCTTGTGGCCTCCTCTTTTGAGCCTTTCAAACCTCGGAGCTCAGCTCCACTTGCAAACACTACAGTTTCTACCTCTCCAGCTTCCCGAGGCAGCTTGGGCTCAGCACGGCCATCTCCACATTCCCCTGGTTTCCTGAAAATTCCTTTGGATCACGAGCGTCGGGCAATTTTAGAGCATGACGAATTGCGAGTTCCCTCCACACAAGAAGCCTAATACGGCATTTCCGGCTATGCTCGTGGTTGAAGGGCCTTTGGTTAAACCTGCCCAAACCTGAACTGCCAGAGCATCGAGATAACCCAGTTCGTGGAACTTCGCTTATTTCTGCAGCAGTTTACTGGAATTTTAAGTCATAAGGGTCAGAGAATTGTAAGTCTAGCTTCTAAACAAGCTTCTGTTATAAAAATGACACGCAAAATGTAAAATTAAGTCGCGGGGACTGTTGCTCCAAGACCACTGCTGCTCAGAGCTGGGGCAGGCGGCAGAGGCTCCGCTTTGTGCAACGGGAACCGGGGACACTCAGAGGTCCAAAACGGAGGTCATACAAAACCCGAAGGGAAAATACAGAGGAGGAGAAGAAAAAAAGGGGAGAGAGGAAGGAAGGCAGTGACACAAACCTATGTCAGAATGCTTTGAATCAATCTGAAATCATATATAGAGTCGGCCTTCCAAAAATATCATAATATTTTGGGGCAAAACACTTTTTCCTTGCTATTCAAACTAATGTCAAGATGTATAGAGGTGTAGCTGATGTTTTGTCTAATCATATATAAAAAGCCAAAAAATATCAGTACAGACATGAAATTCTGTGGGGCATGATATACTTTTCTTCTAGCATTACAATATTTTTATAGTTATTGTGCACAGAAAAAAAAGGTGAGGAAGATGAAGGACAACCTTTTCTTTCTCTTGAGCTTCAATGCAAATGAGATCTTACGAGCAATCACTGAAAACCCAACTCGTATTATTAAAAAGTATGACTGCTGTAAGCATGTTTAACTGGATAAAGAGATTTTAACACTTCCATTTGAAAACTCTATCATTACTCATCAAAATACTGCATTTTTGAGGTTAATTTAGCTCATATTTTGACAAGACTCCTCCAAATCCTGTGTAAGATGCAGAGGATCTTGCTAATTATTTTCACAACCCTCCCACACAACAGCAGGTGAAGGCATTTATTTTGAACTTAATCTGCAGACCAGGACTAGGTTCATTAAACGCTACCATTTCACATTCACAACCTTCATGCCATTCCATTTAGGCAGTCATTCAGTTATGCACAAAGTAACCTTCGGGGTCCCCACACAAGCTTAATGTTTGGATATTACTTTATAACAACGCGTATCATTATTAGACCCCAGTCCAAATAAAACGAAAAGCTTTCTGCTTAATACCAGAGAGCTTTAATTTTTACAAGCTCCAGTCTGCACTTCAGACCTCCAATTTTGCATGGTTACGTGTCTATACTTTCCTCTGCTGTAATGACTGAGTAATTTGGATCCCAGCAGCGGGAAGCCACTGTGTTCATTTGCTTCCTTAGGCAGAGACGCAGTGTCCAAGATATAGGAAAACAGAGCTCCTCTTCCTTCTCTCTTTGGGCTGTCCTTGGTAACACCAGAGTACCTATACACACACACTGCTGGCCTTGCCCCAAAGGATACAACTGCCCCTTACTATTTTAGCATCTATACTTAGGTTGTATTACTGGTATGTTAAATGCTACAGTCAAAAGGGGGAAAAACTGCCTGCGTGTTTTATTAGTATTCACAAGCGTACTCTCCAGACTTGGTTTGTGGCATGAACTGTTACTCATTAGTTATTTGTCACCGGGAGGTGTTGGGCTCCAGAAGTCAGCACAGCTGCCTAAGATGACATTATGAATATGCATTTCAATACAAAATAAATCAGAGTTCTTGCATCTATCAAGGTAACATTCTGTTCTTAATCCCTGCAGTGACCCTGGACAGTGACTGAGTATAAAAGAATTAAAAAATAAAATAAGACAAAATAAAGTAAAACATCGACCCACTAAAATTGCTCAGGGGCAGTTTCCATTTTTAGCTGTCTCAGTGCAACAACTGATAGCAATTTATCAGAATAATTTGAACCTCTTTCTCATAAATTTTTAGACTTTTCTTCCCAATTCACTCCTCTGAACATTGCAAGCTTTGGCACCTAGACAAGCCCTTTGAACACAAGGAATTATCTTTTTCAGGTTAGAAGTTCACGACAACCTTGAATTTGACTCAGGTTGTTTGCCTCCCCATCTGCTCTCCTTTCCATCCCTCTAGGCACTCCTAGAAATGACTCTCTTGAAGTGACAGTACTATTTCAACTCTTCTCACTAATGCCTGAAACATTTAAAAAAAAAAAAAAAACACCCTTGTTAGAGTCTTAATCTACTCAGTAAGTTCACAATCAACTGGCATCTTATCAGTGACCAAATGGCCACGGATTTTAAAAAACCCTTCAAACAGATTTTTCAAAAAGCATTTTTTAGTACCCTCTACGCAATTCCCGGAGGGTCCCCTGGTAGGACCAGAATCCCCTTTCAAAGCCAGGATGGTTGAGATCCGCAGGACAAGGAGGGAGAAGAGCAGTGATGAGAGGGGCACGCAGCACGTGCTGTGCGTGATCCCACCGACTCCACATACACTAGAGCAGCACTAGAGCATCAAGAAGGCTACAGGCACCAGCCTTGTGGGCCAAGGACTTCAGGCACAGCGTGTTTTGTTCTTTTCCTGCTCCGGCATTTCAGCTTTGAATTAATAAGTAAAGCCAAGCCATTAATGACAGAGCAACCTGATACGAGGCACGTAACTGAGGAATAAATGGAATCAGAACAGTACATACTCCTATCTTCCCACTGCAGTCTTCTGAGACTCATATACTCATCTTTCCTATGGGCTAATAGCTTGCAGATGCTTTCAAATGTTTTTGCTGATTTTTTTTCAGCTTTATCTTGCATTTTACAAGACTGCAAAACTGCAAGGTAACCCCAATATTCTGTGTGCCAATATTTTGCTCTGATCAAAACTGCTATGAAACCATCAAATTCAAAGTTCTGTCCGGTTTTGCCATTTTGAATTCTATTTTTTTATTAATTGGCAATCAACCCAGACACTAGCAGTTGAAATGGGACATCAGATACGTGGCACAGTTGTACATCACGATGGACACAGTCAAAACCACAGGGTCAGATCATCCTTCCCCTGGAAAAGAGAAAGTCGTCAAGAAAGATCAAAGAATCAGGGTGGGAATGCTTGGTTTGGGGTCCCTCCACTGTAAAGCTGGGTTAAAATCCCTGTTGGGAGGGGAGCGGAGGGGAGGAGAGGAGGAAGAGAGGGGAGGGGAACGGAGCGGAGTGGAGCGGAGAGGAGAGGAGAAGAAAAAGAATAAAGGCCACACTGAGCTGGGCCAGCCCTGGCAAAGGCACATTTGCCTTCTCCCACCGAAGTTAAAACTGGATGCCACTTCAAAGTTCCTCTTAGGTCCTTTCTTTGCTTACTCTATTTATATGCTCCTAAATGCTAAGGCCTTCTCATTTGCTCATTCTCTACGTGACCATCAAAGGAAAGGCTGAGTTCTGCTTCACTGAAAGAATACAAATAAAACAGGGGACAGGACGCCGCTCTCACCCTACCTCCGTATTCCCAGTTCAGTATCCCAATGTTCCTTTTGACAAGCGGACACCGAGGGACGTCATTTCAGAAAAACAGTGGCCAAAGAGCGACGGGTGAGAATAAATGTTGGGAGGCAGACAAGATTCACAGCCTGGCAATCTCATCTTCATTAGGCAAGCACTATAAATCACCAACTCACCCAGAAGGACATGAAGACATTTTATGTGAAAAGCAACTTTACCCATTTCTCATCTATACTTCACTGCAAAACAGGAACAAAAATCACAAGGAAAGGTAAGGACACCAGGCAGGAATTTCAAAGGGAAGTTGTCTTCTCTAAACGTATGCTAAAGTTTTGCATGGACGTTTAAAGAAGAGATGAAACCAGGGACAAACATAGGACAAGCCTGGCCCAGCTTTATTCAACTTCTGTGAAGTATTTCATTTCTGAACTGGGGAAAAAATACATCAGCAATTTTTGCCTTATATATTTGCTTTCTAATGCAAGAATGCCTCATTTCTAATTGAAAAAAAAATGCTGTAACTTACAGTTATCTAATAAAAAGTTGCCCTAGTTTGGAAAAAATCTAAATAAATGTAGTCCCTACACAACTGCTAGGGAGGATGTGGTCTGTGGTTGTACAAACTCTCCTATTTTACTAAATCTGCAATGGCACATTGTACAATAAATAGCGCATGCAAGCACTTTTCAGTTCTTACTGGCATACCCAACAGTTATGGGCCTTTTTTCAATTAAGCTTTTAAACAGCAACTATGGAAACCACACTGCTCGGCTTCGCTGGAAAACACACGGATAGGGTAACTTCTGACACTGGGAAGTCTGAAAAAAGAGGGTGTAAAGAGACAGGAAGTTTAAAAGCATATAAAGCGTTGACAGAGCCATGTATCATCATATAAGCTGCTAAAAACCAAAGCACTTTGTATACCCACATGCACAGCTTTTCAGCCATTATTCCTCAAAAGACCAAGCACGACTGCCCTGAATTTGCAAAACTTTCCTTCAGTGGGAACCTCCTGAACACAAAT